GTGTCCCGGTCCTGTTTTGATGGTGTCCCGGTCATGTTTTGATGGTGTCCCGGTCATGTTGTGATGGTGCCCCGGTCATGTTTTGATGGTGTCCCGGTCATGTGATGGTGTCCCGGTCATGTTGTGATGGTGTCCCGGTCATGTTTTGATGGTGTCCCGGTCGTGTTGTGATGGTGTCCCGGTCATGTTTTGATGGTGTCCCGATCATGTGATGGTGGCGCGGTCATGTTGTGATGGTGTCCCGATCATGTTTTGATTGTGTCCCAGTCATGTTGTGACGGTGTCTCGGTCATGTTTTGATGGTGCCCTGGTCATTTTGTGATGGTGTCCCGGTTATGTGATGATGGTGTCCAAGGAAGAGATGGTCGATGTGTTGAAAACAGCAGCTGTTTCCAGATTTTTCTTTTTGTCCCGGTTTGTATCTTGCTATTGGGGTCTCCAGCTGGGCTAATTTCGATTTCATTTTTTTTTGTTGATCCCTTACCCGTTTCCAGAAGTCATGAGTCACAAGTCATGAACAAAAGGGAGTTCTGTAGGAAGTGAAGATAGAACATGTATCATACTCCCATCAATGTTTTGGAACAGGCCAAGTCGAACATGACAGGTCGGCTCCCAGTGATTCTAAAATCACCACTGGCCATATCATGCAAAACAAACCGGACGGGTAGTTGGGCCAAACTATTCAAAGTCAGTAATTACTGTAATTAGAAATCACTTTTCCAATTCCTTTGAAATCAATTAAAACTGAGGAAACAAATTAGCTCCGGTGTGCATTCTGCCACACCCTTGTGGTTGAATCTAACTAATTGTCCTTTTTTTGAGAAGGACTTTCACAACTACGATGTTTTCTCTGCACAAAGTACCACGATGCTTTGGTGAGTATTAATCCTGAATGTCATGGTGTAACAAATCCAGTGGGTCGAACACAAAATTGGCGGGTCGTCCTGGTTGGAATATTCTTCTCCCTTTCTTGGAGAGATCATCTAGGGATGAGTCACTTCTGTCCACTTTCAAGGTCCCAGTCCCATCACCAAGCCTGTGAATGGAAGATCAATTGGACGTGGGCCCCACATCGACATCTCCACAAACCCATCCAACCCCTGCGATGCGGACGCTCCTAGTAGTAAGAATGCAACTAATTACACTCTTCGGGAGAGTATATAGTAGTGATACCAGGAGCCGCTAGTAGCGTCCTTGCTCCTAGTAGCTTCTTGTTCCTAGTGTAAGAACTCCCATTTTCAGACACTGACAACATGTCGCCTCATCTCTGTATCTCTGTGAGGATGCTGTGGCAGAGCTCAGCCGCGTGGCGGAGGAGTCCTTGAGCGGCATCAGCACCGTCCGTGCACTGGGCGCGGAGGACGCTGCCCCACGTGACGTTGGTGACGGGTCTCAAACCGGAGGTCTCCAAGCACAGGGCTTGCAGCATTTCTGGTAGCCCCTTTTCATCCTGAAAAGGCCTAGACTGATGCGCATCCAACATGAAGATCTTTAAGTGCTCCAAGCACCTGCCAAGTCTGCCAGCTGAAGACAGGAATGGTGTACAGAACACCCTGAATACCTGCTCTTCAGCGAAAGGCATATCTGGATCTGAAGTTTTGCCAGGGCAGCGTCTCATTGGGTGCCCCCCCAAAAAGGTCCAAAGAACCGAGGAAACCGATCGGCCTTCGGTGAAGAGTGGCTCCAAATCACGATTTGGGCACTCTATATATATATTACTGTTACTAATCCTATTACTTATTACTATTACTAATCCTGTTACTATTACTATTCCTATTACTATTACTATTACTGTTGCTGTT